GTCTTTGGTTCATCCATTTAATCATTCAAGTAATGGTTTCTGGTTTTTATTTTTGTTCCAGAAAATGCTTGATTATCTGAAAGAAAAGAGAGATGCAGGGTTTTTTAAGAGTCTCTCGGGGCTAATGCAGTCCTGCAGGTGATTGAACTGTGTCCATAAAAACAAAAACAAAACAAATCCCTGTGTCATTGGCTGTGTTTACATCTTGAACCTTGTCCTTCCGTCATCAGTGTCCTGGACTTGAATGCATTTGAGAGACAGAACAAGGCAGAAGGTCTGGGCATGGTGACAGAGGAAGGTTCATGTGAGTGAAGATCCGTCGTGTGGTTTTCTTTAGTTTTTTTTTCTCAGAGTCTAATACTCCCCTACTGAAATATTTGATTTTACCATCATCATCATCATCATCATCGCTGAAATATTTGATTTCACCATCATCATCATCATCACAAGTAAAATATCTTCTCCTTGCCTCTCTAATGCTGAACCATGACCTCAGTTCTTGAAATGTGACTTTATCAGTTTTAATAGTATGTAATACCTTAATGTTCCTGTAGGGCATGGTTGTCCAAAATGTATTTAGGTAGATCAGGAAGGTTTGATATTGACCCATAAATAACCAAAGGCTGTACAAAAAAAGGTACAGTCCCCCAAAATTAGCCAAACAAAACCTAAATAAATAATAATAAGAAAAAGTCAGGACAGTTTGAACTGCACAGGTAACTCCAATGTTAAAAGAAAAGGTAAGGAAAGTTTTAATTGGGAAAATTTGATCTAGATCCGTGTGGATCGACACAGGACTGATGTTTTAGAACCGATTAAACTTGTATATCGAAGCCCCAATAAAACGCAGACCAAAACAGGTCACGATCATATTTCCTCCTTCGTTTGTGAGGAACCATTTGATTTAACTTTTGTATATCTGAATATACAGCTTCCTGTTCCAGTATCAGATCAGAGAGTTGATGAGTGTTGATGAAATAATCCAAACCACGTTATCATTAATGCTGCTTGTGCTCCACCTTTGAAGTCGTCAGTGTGGTGTTGTTTAATCTTGTACTTTGTGGTTTGTACTTTAATGCATGTGATTCCAGCTCATACTTTAGCAACACCGTGTTTATGGTTGAAGTCTGGACGATACAGAATTCTTGAGGTTCTTCCCACAGCTGTAATGAACGCTCGTTCATCTCTGTCCAGGGTTTGGTCAGCTGAGTGAAGAATAACAGTGCTAACGATGTTCAGATTAATAATCCCAGTCCTACATTAACGCCGTCTCGATCTTTTAGAATGGAAGATCAGATTAAGTTCTCCCCGATCTCCAATGACTTACAGCTACTAAATGTCCTAGTAGATATGAGATCCAAAGTCACCACCCCCTCCTGGTGGTTGACTTTGTAACTGCCTGAACCTTGTGATCATGTTGTAATGAATTTTCCCACTAATATCAGGCGATGACTTTGAACAACAACACCAGAATCACAGGATTTCTCTGAAAACAGTCGACATGGTCCAGCATTAACTTCAGAGCTTTGACAAAAACACGCTCACGTAATGCTTTTCACACTGTCCCTTCATGGTTACAGTTAAATCCATGCTCCACACCTCCACTCCTGTTGTGCCTTTAATAATAATTCACCACCGTGACTACGTGTGTGGCCGTGACTCCACCGTGGTTGAATCACATCAGAAATAAGACGGTGGTTGTTGTTGTAACTGCATGCTGTAGTTTATAATGACATCTCCTGTGTATTGTAACACAATGTCCTCTCTCTTTACTTATGTCTTCGTGTGCTGTGTGTCTCCTTCCTCTCATTTATTAAAAACCATCGATGGCAGTCCACACTCAGAGGGGTAAATAGAACAATTTAGATCCTCCTGATATGGCTGTGCTTCCACCTCCAGTGTGTCTCCTCCATATATGTGGTCCATTCTCCTTGGCTTTATTTGACGTCCCACCCCCCCACACCCCCTGCCCCTCTTCTCCTTTTGTCCATTCGTCTGCAGGGACAGAATGTTGCATGAGGATCAGCAGAATCCATTGCCCGTGTTCTCATGGTGTGATTTCTGTTTTCGTGTCCTTGACATTGTTAACTTCTCACTAACGCCAATCCTTCTACTGATGCTCACGTTTGTCCGTCTACGGCAGCCGTAGACAGGGAGGTTTGCGGCTTCTCCCGCGGCCTTTGTCCTGCTCTGGGGCCTGTTCCACAAAGCTGGTTCTGACGTACAGATGTCTTAACTTTCACATGGCTCCCTCTGCTGGCAGAGATCAGCGTCTCTGTCCGCTGCCCTTCCTTCAGTATTCCTCCCCCGAGGCCTAACTTTCTGGCCTGCGTGTGAAAGTTATCAGGCCGACACCAGCTTAAGGAAACGTCCTAGTGTTTCATAAAAAAGACACACTTTAGATTGAGTTCTGAACTGGCAATCTAAAGACCCCGGACTTCAAACGGGTTTTGAACACGAAACCTGTCCTGCTTGCATCATTTTATGGCTTTTCAAGGAAAGTATTGACAAACTTTTAGTCCTACGATGTATAAATGAAGGTGTAAACTTCCCACTGCAGGTTTCCAGCTGTATTCACTAAGATTTTTTCTTCCAAAGCCTCCAAGGTGCTACAGAACGACGAGTTTACCAAAGATCTGTTCCGCTTTTTGCAACTTCTGTGTGAGGGTCACAACGGAGGTGAGCTTTGGTGTCATTTTTATGTTTTGGGGCCGTGGGTTTGGATGATCATGTTTTAGAAAAATGTACCGTGACATTGTCAACCTTCAAACACCTCAGAGTTCATATGAATGCCAGCCGTCACACGAAGGCTACGTCCTTCTACATAATGTCCATTTTTGGAAGTTTTTCTAAACAAACAAATTCCTGTATCGCAGGTACAGAGGTATTCAAATATCCAAGACGTAAAATAAAAATAAAGACAACTGAAAAAAAAATCTATCCACTTGTTAGATGTTTTTGTGTCACAGTTTAACTTGCTTGCTGACACTGAAACAACACAGTAGCTCCACCACCGTCACCTCACTGGTTTTTAAAGGAAAAACCCAGAGTCTGAGTTTTCATTAATTGTTGTTCTTTTTTTTTCACTGTCAGATTTCCAGAACTTTCTGAGAACTCAAACAGGGAACACGACCACAGTCAACATCATCATCAGCACAGTTGACTATCTGCTACGTCTCCAGGTGTTTACACACGGACAGGATCACACGTCGGTTTGAGTTTGGTTTGATAATTTGTCTTTTGTCATAATCCAAGTCTTCATCTCTTTAGGAATCGATCAGCGACTTCTACTGGTATTATTCTGGAAAAGATGTCATCGATGAAACAGGGAGAATCAACTTCTCCAGAGCCTTAGATGTGGCCAAGCAGATTTTTAACTCACTGACTGAGTACATTCAGGTGAGTCAGTTCCTGTGTGTGTTTTTGTGTGTGTGTACGTGACCATGTAACGTCCACCTCTCTGTCCAGGGCCCTTGTATTGGGAATCAGCAGAGTCTGGCTCACAGCAGACTGTGGGATGCAGTTGTGGGATTCCTGCATGTGTTTGCCAACATGCAGATGAAGCTTTCTCAGGTGAGGTTACTAAGGAGACTGTGTTGGAAGATACAACGTGTAGTTTGGCCTGTCTGTCCTGTAGAGGGTGCTGTTTATGCAGTTTAAACTTAAAATTCTAAACAAGTACAAAAATGTTTTTAAAGAAAGTACACGCACAGAGCAGTGTGACTGACGACACCGTACACCTCTGGGTGGCTGATGAAATGACCGGGGTGTTATTCTGTGTGTTTTTGTGTTTTCTGCTGTGGTAAAAGGTGATGTTTTTTTCTTTTTAGGATGCTAGTCAGATTGAGCTCCTGAAGGAGCTGATGGATTTACAGAAGGACATGGTTGTCATGCTGCTGTCGCTTCTGGAGGGTAAGAACCTGGAGCTGCAGTGACAGAGGAAAGAGTTTCATCTCTGCTGCGTTCAGATTCTGACACAAACCATTTTTTTTCCTCAGGTAACGTAGTGAACGGAACGATCGGGAAGCAGATGGTGGACACACTGATGGAGTCTTCCAGCAACGTGGAGATGATCCTTAAGTTCTTTGACATGTTCCTCAAACTGAAAGATCTGACCACGTCGGAGAACTTCAGGGAGTACGACCCCGAGTGCAAAGGTATCATTTCAAAGAAAGAGTTCCAGAAGTCCATGGAGAGTCAGAAACAGTACACGCCGTCCGAGATCGAGTTCCTGCTCTCCTGCGCCGAGGCCGACGAGAACGACATGTTCAACTACAAGGAGTTTGTGGAGAGGTTTCACGAACCGGCCAAGGATATCGGCTTCAACGTGGCCGTGCTGCTCACCAACCTGTCTGAACACATGCCTCACGACTCCAGACTGGCCACGTTCTTGGATCTGGCCGAGAGCGTCCTCAGCTACTTTGAACCCTACCTGGGTCGTATTGAAATCATGGGCAGCGCAAAGAGAATCGAGAGGGTTTACTTTGAAATCAGCGAGTCGAGCCGCGAGCAGTGGGAGAAGCCGCAGGTGAAGGAGTCCAAACGGCAGTTCATCTTCGACGTGGTCAATGAGGGAGGGGAGAGCGAGAAGATGGAGATGTTTGTCAACTTCTGCGAGGACACTATTTTTGAGATGCAGCTGGCCTCGCAGATCTCCGAGCCCGATGAGGTGGAACAGCCTGAAGAGGAGGAAGAAGAGGAAGGACACAGCCTCCTGGACGAGCTGGCCGAACACGAGGAAGGAGCCGCAGAGTCTGCCTCAGCCTTCAGCAACGCCTGCTCCACCGTCAAGAAGAAGTGCGCTGAGGTCCGACAGATGTTTACGGTGAAAACCCTGCGCAAGCAGTTTAAGAAGATCAAGAAGCTGAGCATCAGGGAGATCATCACGGGGTTCTTCTCCTTCTTCTGGATGCTCTTCACTGGCTTCTTCAAAGGAATCTTTGGCCTGATATTTGGCTTCTTCCACATCATCTGGTCCTCCATGTTTGGTGGCGGCCTGGTGGAAGGAGCCAAGAACATGAAGGTGACAGATATCCTGGGGAACATGCCCGACCCCACCCAGTTTGGTATCCACGGTGATGTGATAGAAGGAGAGAAGGTGGAGGCGGTGGAGTCGTCACGGAGCCTGGACGCGGCCATGGCTCCACCAGGAGACATGGCTGAGGCGGACATACTGTTGGAGATGTTGACGGGCCCGGCCAAGAAGGAAGGAGGGAAACACATGGAGCCTGGACTGGGAGATGTTTCGGAGCTGAGTGCAGAAATGTCCTCTGCTGATCACAAAAAGGTCTGTAATTCAACACCGGGGTCGGGGTTCGATTTTTGTAAAAGACCTTTAACCCTTGCAGGCCAATTGTTCTACGTTAATTCTGTGCAAGTGTTTCATGAATTCTTGGGTAACCTTTAAAAAAATGTTTACTTTATTTTATTGTGTCAAAAACTGTCTGTATTTAAAAACAAAAACAACTTCTGAGCCTGGTTTTTCTCACTGTCGCCGTCTTCCATTTCATTGATTTGTAAAAACCCTTCTGAGCAGAAAGCTGCGGCCAAGTCTGTGGAAACGTCTGAGAGTGAACCGGAAAAGGCAGAGTGAGTAAAGTCGAAGGTTTAAAAAGAGTTTTCATGTCATTTAAAACAATAAAAAAATAAAAATTAAAGATGATTATACCTCCTTCACAGCACAGAGAACCAGGAGAAGGTGGACAAGCCCAAGGAGGACGAGTTCAAGGAAGCAGTGGCAGAAGAGAAACCAAAGTCCAGGTCCAGTCAGCCCAAAGAACCAGCCCCGGCCTTCATGTCCAATGTCTTCGCTGCTCTGGACGTCTACAAGAACAAAATGCTGGTGAGCCCTGGACCTGACGTCCAGGAAAATGTTTTAGCCCTTAAAGTTGAAAACTCTGTTTCTGAGTTTCTTTTTTTCTTTTTTCAGAACTATTTGGCTCGTAACTTCTACAACCTGCGTTTCCTGGCTCTGTTTGTCTGCTTTGCCATCAACTTCATCCTGCTCTTCTACAAGGTAAAGCCCAGTTTACCCCAGTACAGTGTGAGTATGTTTCCATAACAACGTTTTTCTGCCCTCAGACAATGGAATGTTGTCGACGTCTGGCATTATTTTCTTCTCCTTTCAGTGTCATATTTAGTTGTGATTTGTGTTGGTTTAACCAGCAACAAAATGTTGGCTTAAGTTTGTGGTTATTGGTACAATATTCCTACAATTCCCACCTGGGAACGCTGGCTGTAACCTCGGTATACTGGATTTGAAAGGTAACAGAAGAAGCTGAAGACGATGGCGATGATGAAAACGGCTGGGGTGAAGATGAGGAGGACAACGAGAACACGCTGTTCGACATGGACGAGTTCGTTCTCCAGGAGAGCACGGGCTACATGTTGCCTGCTCTGCGCTTCCTGGCCAAATTCCACACCGTCATCTCCCTCGTCTGCTTGGTCGGCTACTACTGTCTGAAGGTACCGCTGACAGTTAACATGAACTTCTGTGCGTCTCTGCGGCGACGTCCGCTGTAACCTCGGTCTCCTCCGAACCCTCAGGTTCCTTTGGTGGTCTTTAAAAGGGAGAAGGAAATCGCCAGGAAGCTGGAGTTTGACGGCCTTTACATCACCGAGCAGCCGTCAGATGACGACATCAAGGGCCAATGGGATCGACTGGTCATCAATACACCGTGAGTCTTCAGACTGAGTGGACCTTAGGGTTCAACAGAAATTAAAGGTTCTACTGGAAACAGTTTCTATTGAAGCAAAATGATTGAGAGAGAATTTTTGGATTCAACCTTTTTCATTTTTTTTAATAGATGTTATCTTTTTTTTTTTAAACAAATCATCATGATTAGATAAATTAGAAAAACTCAAATAAATGATGAATATATATATTTTCACCAACACAGTAATTATTCATTTAAAAATACAATGAAAGAAGAAATTGAATTCAAATCAATAAATGTAAAAATAAAATATAAATGTAAAAAATGTATAGGCCATACTTTAAACTAAAGTTTTGCATTAAAAATATTTTATTTGTTTTGCAGAAACAAGATATTCTTGCTTTAAGATGTTTTGTCTCCATTTCTTCATGAAATTACATGAGATTCTGACCTTAAAATCCTTTGTTGTACTTTTATAAATTCTACTTTGTAGCTACAGCATAATGTCTAATTATTTATAAAATAATTTAGATAGTTGCTAAACGTTTTTTTTTTATTGCAGGTCCTTCCCCAACAACTACTGGGACAAGTTTATTAAGCGTAAGGTAAGACCCTGATGCTGAAGTTCAGTGTGTACTTTCCTAAAGATGAAGTATTTGTCCTTTTTGAGAAGACACGTCGTAAACTATCTTTATAAGACGTCACGTCTTCATGTATGGACTACAGCCATTACACTGTGGAGCATGTGTGTGCAGGTGATCAACAAATATGGCGACCTATATGGAGCTGAACGCATCGCCGAGCTCCTGGGTCTGGATAAGACCGCTCTGGACTTTGACCCCACAGTAGAAACGGTGGAGAAGGAAGCCTCGCTGGTCTCCTGGTAAGAACCGACTGTTTTTGTTTTGTTTGTTTTTTTCATTGTGTTTTAGTAAACACAGCAAATCTTGTGCAGATATTTTGTGCTATAAATGCACAAAAAAATTGACATGTTAACAGTTGACAAAAATAAATCCTTATATGCAAAGAAATAAAAAAAATGCCTTAAAATGCATCAAAACATGCTTGGTATAGATATTTGGGGGGGTTTGGCTCTTTGAAGATCTTCTAAGCCCTTTGCTTGTAACGTTTTGTGTATAATTTGTACTAAGAATGACAAAAAACATCATTTCTGAATGAGAGAAATTTTTTTTGATGATTTTTTTTTCAGGTTGAGTTCCATTGACACAAAGTACCATATCTGGAAAATGGGTGTTGTTCTGACTGACAACGTGAGTACATTCTGTCTTAAAAATCATATATTTTTCTTTTTGTTAAATGTCAGTTTTTATTTCACAAAAAAAAGTGCAGCCTTTCCAGGGGTGATTCTGTTCTGCATAAAACAGATTAAACAATTAGAAATGAGTCAAATGGAAGACGATAATCACATACTGTTGAAATTCTCAGAGCGGAAAACAAAACAAAATTCCCCTTTTTGTCCTGCAGTCCTTCCTGTACCTGATCTGGTACACCACCATGTCCGTTTTCGGACACTTCAACAACTTCTTCTTCGCTGCTCATCTGCTGGACATCGCCATGGGCTTCAAGACGCTGCGCACCATCCTGTCTTCAGTCACGCACAACGGCAAGCAGGTAGGTCACTCAGCCAGCAGAGGGAACCAAAGTACACATAAGACTTAAACTCCAAGGCATATGATACATGGACTAGATGTTCCAAAACAAAGACTTGCCAAATGTTGTGTCCCTGTAGCTGGTCCTGACCGTGGGTCTCCTGGCCGTGGTGGTCTATCTCTACACTGTGGTGGCCTTCAACTTCTTCAGAAAGTTCTACAACAAGAGCGAGGACGAAGACGAGCCCGACATGAAGTGTGATGACATGATGACGGTACATTGACCCTGTCTTGTTGTTCAACTTTTTAAAAAACAACAGAGTAAAAGTGAAATCGTTCTGTAGGTCGTCTAAAGAATGAGAATTGAAAAATACGGAGTTGAATTCTTCAATGAGAAACATTCTCCTCCAAAGGCTTTTTCCTTTCCTTTTCCACCTTTAGTTGAAACTAATGGGAAGAAATGTTCTTAGTTGCAGAATAATTAAATACCTTTCAGTCAGCAAAACAATTAAAGGTTCATTCAGTAAAGATGTCGAGACACAGAAATGAGAAAAACTGGCAAATACTTTGCAAATGCAGCAGAAGTTTGAGCAGAAGTTTCTGTTTCCTGTGAGCTCAGACATTTAAACTAGTTTGAAGACGTTATAAAGATGAGACGTCTTTTTTGCCCCAGTGCTACTTGTTCCACATGTACGTGGGCGTCAGAGCTGGAGGAGGGATAGGAGACGAGCTGGAGGACCCGGCCGGAGACCCCTACGAGCTTTACCGCATCCTGTTTGACATCACTTTCTTCTTCTTCGTCATCGTCATCCTGCTGGCCATCATTCAGGGTAACTGTGGTGTTTCTTCTTTCTCAAGTGTCCAAAAAAGGAGGATACAAATGGCTAAAAATGGAGCAGTTTTAGAAAAGGAATTTCAAAATAGTAACAGTACAAAGAATATCTAAAAGTTCAATTTAAATATGAGCCAATATTGAATTAAATGTCTCCTTCAGGTTTGATCATCGATGCCTTTGGTGAGCTGAGAGACCAGCAGGAGCAGGTGAAGGAGGACATGGAGGTAAGACTCCCAGGTTCTCCTCTGACCCGGGGTCAGGTGTCTCACCCTTTACCATTTCCTGGTAAAGTTTCAGCCTCTGTCTTTGCTGTTTTTCAGACCAAATGCTTCATCTGTGGCATCGGCAACGACTACTTTGACCGAACGCCTCATGGATTTGAAACCCACACTCTACAAGAGCACAACCTGGCCAACTACCTGTGAGTGCAGCAGGAACATTCTAGAACTGTTTGACATACACAGTCACAATTCACAGAGAAACTGTCTTTCACAATCTGACCAGACTCTGCAGTGATGCTGCAGTGAATCATGGGATACGTTAGGCTGTCACATTTGGACCATGTCTGAACCAGACCTGAATTCTTTTTCATACACAGGTTCTTCCTGATGTACCTGATCAACAAGGATGAGACTGAACACACGGGTCAGGTCAGTCCAGACGCTTGAAGTTTTTGAACCAATCACATTTAGCTAAATGGGCCCGTAGAAAATTCAACAGGCCCAGAATATAATTTTGAGAATGCTGAGTAGCCACCAGTAGAACCTTAAGCAGGAATACGTTGGTCTTTTTTTCTACTGCTGCAATTCCCCTCCTCTCCCACCAGGAGTCGTATGTCTGGAAGATGTTCCAGGAGAGATGCTGGGACTTCTTCCCCACTGGAGACTGCTTCCGTAAACAATACGAGGACCAGCTGGGTTAGAGAGGAGACCGCGGACAGCCCACGAACCAGGACCCCGGTCTGTGACGTCTCACCAGACTCTACCTGCCGCCATGGTGTCGAACAAAAAAACCCGTCGTTAAGGTCATTTTTCTGCTTCCAAGTTGGAACGGTCACTTCTTCCTCTCTTATGCAACTTTCTTTGGTTTCTCGGTCGCGTTGCCTTTTTTTTCCCCCTCCTTTTTGCTTTAACTTTCACAACGGATGCACAATGTTGTTAATGTGTGTGTGTGTGTGAGAGAGAGAGAGAGACAGTGGGTGTGTCGGGGTGACAGCATGTGGACTGACTGGTTTCACCTGCAGACAGTAGGCGATTTGTTGTGTTTTCAACAAGGGGGGGTGCACCCTGTCAAGTTAACAAGGTGCACCCCCCCTGTCCTGAAGGGGGGGTGGAGGTGGGGGGGTAACAAAGGGGACATTTTGGTCATTATGTTAACGAGGGGGGACGCCATCCCCTCTCTTGGCCCCTCCCTCTCTGTTGGGGCAGAGCAAGGATGCACCTTGTTAGGTGCATGAACAATAAAAACCGAGGTGCCTTACAGAAAAAAAAACAAAAAACTATGCACAACAGAGAATATGGTTTTTGTCTGTCTTTGACACAAACGCTGTTTCACTTCTGGATTATTTTAGCTTCTTTAGTGGCGTTTATTCATTTGAAAGTAAGAACTAGAAAGAAAGCCGTAACATTTGTTGTAAAAAGTCTAGACGACGCTCGTGTAAATGTTGCTTCCTGTTTGGTTTTTGTTCCAACACGTCGCCTGCCTAACTGCACTTATTTCTACAGTTGATGAAAAGAAAAGGTGAGAAAAAACCCACGAAGAAAGAATGACTGTGTTCAGGGATTCATTTAGGAATAAAAAGCTGCTTCGCTAATGTTTGTTGTCTTTGGTTCTGTTCAGTAGACACTTTGGTTTAAAGTACAGAGAGAAAACCACGAGAAATAAGAGGAATTGATGCAATAAAGTTAAAAAACAAAACAAAAAAACGTTTGTGTCCATGCAACTCCATCTTCTGACCTCCAGCATCAAACTCTCTGGAAACTAAGAAAGGTTTTACTGTGAACCGTGGAGTCCACAGGAGGCTCCACGTCGGCCCCTGAAGAAACCTGAGAGTCTGATCTGATGACAGGGTTTGGAGACGTGCAGTTGGTCTTGTTGGTCAGACTGTGAGCTTTTGTTGAGGCCACAGACACAGGAGTGAGGGTGGATGGTTTGGACACTTCCTGTTTAGGTGCAGGGATGGTCACAGGCCGATCCACTGGAGTCAGGACCTGGAGTAGAGAGGCTTCTATTTTTGGCGTTTAATCACTGGGGAAAGTTTGAAACGTCTGACAAGCTTTTTTCTTTTTCTGTTACCACTAGGACCACAACAGTAGGAGAGCACTTCACGCGCTCAGATGACGTCACACTCGGGAGCTTCTTTAATCAAATAATACAGTACCAACAAACGAACACGAGAATGCTAATTTTACTGTATCCAAATTAAAAAATATTTAGTTGTATTCATGTGCGCAGATATGCACCTGCGCCACAAGGGGGCACTGGTGTAACAGTCGATAGTCTTGTGTAAAGATGTGTAAATATGATTAATTCATGTTTTATATTTTTAGTTTCAAATGTTACTTTGTACGTTAACATTTAAATGTATCAGAAAAAATAACGATCTCATCAAAACAGAATATAGTTGCGTACCAATCAATGTACAGTATTTGACGTATCAACATTCAAAACTAACAAGCGAACGATTTTAAAACCACCCGCCCTCAGTGTCCATTTCCGGGTTGTTACGTAATTTCCTGTACAAGTAATTCCACATACAATGTGAATATACGGGTAAAAACTAAATTATGACGATTAAAAACTAAATTATGACTATGTTCATGTTATCAAATTATATGTAGATATAATTTTTATATACGCACGTTTTGTGTTAAAACGTTATCCACGGCTGTCGTCATCAACGTTTGACAAAAACTTCCTGTTACTGCGCAGGCGCGTATTGAAGCGCAAAAAATTCAAAACTGTAGACGTTAGCTCTGTCGCTCTGTGTTAAAAGAAGAGCATAGTGAGTTACTATAGCGCTAAAGTTGAAATGAAGAGTTATTTTTAGCTTTTTAACTTGGGCTCCACAACACCCGAGCTGCAGTAAAGGACGAGCCGTGAACAACTCACCGTAACAAGGTAATAGTTGCTGTTGCTCTCGACCTTTTTGCTGTGTTTTGAATAGTGCTTAGCACCAGCGTTAGCATTAGCTCTTTAAAGCCGTATTTTTTTGACAGCTCACGTACCTATTTTATTATTGGATACAGTAGGTATATATACATGCTATCAATTTAAAGTCCCCTAAGCATTTTGCTAAGAAATTGTGATACAGGGATCAGCACTGTAATTTAATATTTTATGTAGTCAAAGTGAAGATGTTGATCTTTATTCATACATGTTCTGTCTAGTAATCGACACACGATAAATGTATAATCTATAGGTTTTTCCCAAATCTAATGTAAAATATGAGAAATTAGAAGTTTTCAACCCAAATATTTCCTATTAAATACATTAGTATTGGTATTTGATGAAGAGGCATCTTGTCCAAATGTCACTTAATAAATGCCGTCAGGATCCTTGCTGTTCATGTTCTGTTAATGCTGAGTATTTAATGTCCCTTTAATTTTTTTAATTTTTGTTCCAATATTTAAACGTTGATTTATACACGTGTTCAGTCCAATTTTCATATTTTTATAGTTGAAGATGGAGCTCCAGGAAGTTGCAGACAATGAGTAAGTAAAACGTAACTGAAAGGTACCAGATGTGTATTCTGGCCAAATAATATTTCTAATTTTCTGGCCACACATGAGTGCTTACTGGGTTTATATTCTCTTACAGTGAAACCGTTGGATTTTCCAAGAGGCGTATTTCATCAGTCAGTCTTACAAATACAACATATGAAAAATACATAATATTATAATTGTGTTTTTTAAATACATTCAAATAGTTTTTCAACCTGTATAAACTGTGTATATTGTTTCAGATTTTAAAAGTGCCCAGAAAATCGGCCAGATTCACAGATCAAGAGCAACAAGAGAATGTGGTAACAAGATATAACTCTGTTCTCACAGTGTTGAACATTTTATTATTTCTAAGTTTGTATGGTTTTATTAATGTTTTGCTCTCATCAAGGTGCAGTGTGCCAAACCATTTGAAAAAAGATCTTCAAAAAGAGTCAGTTTTGCACCTGGCGACAATGTCCTTGTCTTTTCAAAGTGAGTCCCTTGTTGAATTACACACACACACGCTTTAGAAAATGAGTCATAATGAATATTTTCATTTTCACAGGGATGTCAAAAGTACCGCTTCTTCCCAGAGAATTCCTCAAGAATTGAAGACAGCATGTAAGTCCAGCTGGAGTACTTTTATTTTTTAAGTTTTTCCTTTCAAACCTCGAGCTGAATTTTAATATCTGTCCCGTTTCATTTCACAGCCGGAGAAACAACACAAAACAGGTGAATTGTCCACTGTTGATCTGTGTTTCAGAAGGGTTTTAATTTTGCCTTAACTGCTTAAAAATATTGTTTTTCTATTTTCCTTTAAATCTCTCAGGGTCACAGGGGCTGGAGATGGCACACAGAATATGATGGGTGAGAATATAAATGTGTTTTTAATACCTGAATATTTTTAATCAATTTTTAAAGTGCTGTTATTCAGAACAAATTCCACATATTAATTTTAGGAAAGCAATCCGTCCTGAACGATCCTTTGCGTGCTTCTCAGGATCAGGTAAGGATGTCGTCACCTTTGTATTTCTACAGTATCTTTAAGAAAACAGTTAAAAGCCTGCATTGTAATTTGACTTTTATATAAGCTTAAGCCTTATTTGTTATTATTACTAACAAAAATCTTCAATTTCATCAGATCCGCTGTGACAGAGATGAGGGCATAGGAGAGAAAACAGTGGTGTTTTCCTCTGATGATGCGTACATGGACATGACGCAAAGTCACAGCGTAAATGTCGCCCACTACACAGAACTCCTTGAAGAAGGTTTTCCAAACTTTGGAGAGAAAACAGTTATGTTTACAGCAAATGATGCATCCATGGATTTGACTCTGAATCATACTATGAAAATAACAGAAGGAAACGCTTCACGCCGCGATGGCCGACACTTGGATTTAAATGTTGATAAAAGAAGTTTGCCCTCAACCATTCCCATTTTAGATCTAGGGTTTGAGGGCTTACTTGCAAGTCTCTCTAAGCCCAGTCTCCCTGCGTCCAACAACTCCTTCCCGCACATGGGCTCAGAAACGAGAGATGTGGATAAAGAGAATTGGTTCCCGGCGTCACGTCCAGCCGGAATGGAGAAGTCCATAAATACTTTCAGGAACCACGCAGAAGCATCTCAGCGTAGTGTGCTTTTTCCAGACAACGACGTCAGCATGAATTTGACTGAAGTTCAAACTTCCAGCATTCTGGGCATCACAGATGCCAACGATCAGTTCAAGTTCATTTTTCCCACACAAGATACATGTGTGTCCACAGACAAAAGTGTGCCCCAGAAAAATGAGACCAACAGGACCAGTTCTGTGTCCAAAGATATATAATCTTCTCAGTATTTGTATTATTGTCAGTTCTGTTATTTAACATTTGAACCTTTTTTTGACCAAAAAACCGAGTTAGAATTAACATTATCCACTATTATAATTGCACATGCAGTGATTGATACGCTGTAATCCAATTTTCTGTTTTTAGATATGACATTTTCAAAGAATACACATAGAGCTTCCACTCAAAAACACAAGGTGAGCTCTTTCACAGATAATTGTTACTTAACTGAATTTTTTTATATATATAATATAATATATATAATTACATTTCTGATCATTTAAAACACGTGAACAATGTTTATTTTTCAGGTCGATTTTGATGCCGGATACGAGAAGACGATCATTTTCAACACTGACAATGATTTCATGGACCCCACTCAAAGCTGCACTGTCAACATTGCCCGTGCTGTTGCGGCGCCTCAGAAGGTGTCGGGCGATGGCTTGGATCTAGCAACAGCTTCCTGTCCGGTCTCTTTAAAACACCTAGCCACAGTGGTAACAATCTGCCCTCTGCCCCGGGATCAACGAAAGGCAACAGTGACACTGACAGCAACTCCACAAGAAAGTCTGCCGTGCGTAAAGCTGTTTGTTCACTGAACACGAGGCGGAGCTGCCGTAAATCCTCTGCTGGCAGTAAAGAAGATCCTGGAGCTACATTCTGTATTCAAGGCGACATTAGCATGGACATGACCGAGGCTCAGACTGGAAGGATTGTTGGAATCACACATCCAGATGATCCTCCTCAGCGTCTTCACCCGGCAGGTGCCGACCTAAAGACCAATCAGGGATATGGAATGTGTAGCACGAATGAGTCCAGCACAGTCTGCCCTGAAGCTGACGTCAGCATGGACATGACGGAGACTCAGACTGGTAGGATTCACACCGGGAAACAACAGGCTGGTCCAACCAGAGGCAGGGCTTCGCTAGCAGCCAATGGAAGAAGGCCATCCACCGCCGCACCAACCTCTAACAGTGAAGACACTATCTGTCTAGATGGAGACATAAGCATGGACATGACTGAAGCTCAGACTGGGAGGATTTTTGGGGTCACACCTTCGGATGCAGCTCCTCTGTCTGTCCTTTCCACCACTCAACCCTTTTCTCCAGAGGATGGTAATTCAAAGAGCAAACAGAGATATGAGAGTCATGGTGCACCTAGAGTCAGAGCTTCACTGGCATTTAATGCGAGAAGGCCATCCACAGCTGCACCACCCTCAAACGACCTCTCTACTCTGACCTGTCCAGACGGTGACATAAGCATGGATTTGACTCGGGCACAGACTGGGAGGATTGTGGAAATCGCACTTGCACACGATGACCCTCATTTGTCCTCACAAGGCGTGTACCCACAGGGTAGTGATCTGAAGATCCAAACAGCCCAGATGACTTCCAAACAGATGGAACATTTTGCAACAGATTCAGTTCTTCCTCAAACCAACAAACAGCAGTTTGGCGCCACCTGGGGGAGACCGTCATTAGCACCTCATGCAAAAATGCCATCCACAGTTGCACCACCCTCAAACGCCAGACGCTCCACTGTGGTCTGCCCTGATGGTGACGTCAGCATGGACATGACGGAGACTCAGACTGGTAGGATTGTTGGACTCACACCTGCAGATGATCCTCAGTTGTTTGTGGCTTCACCAGACGTGTACCCAGAAACTCGTGACCTGAAACGCCAGACGGAGTCAGTCCTTTACACCAGGAAACAGCAGGCTGGTCCAACCAGAGGCAGAGCTTCGCTAGCATTTAATGCAAGAAGGCCATCCACAGCTGCACCACCCTTAAACGATGACCCCTCCACTGTGACCTGTCCAGACGGTGACATAAGCATGGATCTGACTCGGGCCCAGACTGGGAGGATTGTGGAAATCGCACTTGCACATGATGACCCTTATTTGTCCTCACAAGGCGCGTACCCACAAGGTAGTGATCTGAAGATCCAAACAGCCCAGACGACTTCCAAACAGACAGGACATTTTGCAACAGATTCAGTTCTTCCTCAAACCAACAAACAGCAGTTTGGCTCCACCTGGGGGAGACCGTCATTAGCACCTCATTCAAAAATGCCATCCACAGTTGTACCACCCTCGAACGCCAGACGCTCCACTGTGGTCGGCCCTGAAGTTGATGTGAGTATGGACATGACTGAAGTTCAGACTGGGAGGATTTCTGGCGTCATGCCAATAGACGATCCTCCTCAGCCTCCGTCTGCTGCACCCAAATACGACAAACGTGGTCCAAACGGACACCAAACTCCATCAGCATTAATTGCGAAAACGCCGTCCACTGCTGCACCGTTCACCAACTATCAGGAATCAGACACGGTGGACGATGGCTGCGATGTCAGCATGGACATGACTGAGGCTCAGACTGGGGGGATTCTGGGAGTCAGTGGCGCTGATGATCCAACTCAGTCTCTGTCCACCTCACAAGGTGCCTTCCAACAAAATGATGAGGCAGCCAAATTAAACCTGCAGAGTGCTGACCCGCCTGGAGCGTCAGTGTTCACAGGTAAATAAAGACCAGTTTGAACTGAGTTAAAATGACACCAGAACCAGAAATTATTATTATTGACTATTAAATGATCATTACAGTTCAATGTCATCACAGAAACATAGTTACAGAATTATAATGTGTCTGTAAATGCCTTGTTCATTCATTTTTATTTTGTACTTTCAGGTGCAAAAAAGTCTTTGGTGGAGAGACGGCAGGTAAACATGAGCTCACATTTTTGCTCCAAACAAACAATCACGAATAGTACAATTTTATGAAAATGAAACGGCTCTGAATTTCATTAAATATATATTTTTTCCTTTTTCAGATGACTGACTCAAAGGTTGAGGAAGAACAGCTGCGTACAGATCAGGCCGTTCCAAATGTTATGAGCTGCCTCGGCCGCAAATCAGAAGTGATTCTTCCACGGCAGGACCCGCTCCTTAAATTCACCCACAGAAACACGGATTTACCTTCGACCGTGAAGACGACGCAGAGAAACAGGTCTCTGACGGCACGTGGTCGAAGCCTCGGATTTAAAAGCTCCTTCCCTCTGACAGGCCTTCCCTGGACCAACGCTGCTATCACCAAACCAGTAACCACTGCTGACCAGCAGCCTCTGCCAGGTGGAATGGAGCAGCCTGAGGAGAATGCTGCACACGTGACCGTGGACGTGGCTCCAGCCAGGGACGACCACTCACAGAATGAAACCACCAGAGATTTTCCTGGTGGTAATATGAGCATGGATATGACCGACGTCCAAACAGGCCACATTCCTGGACCAACTAGTGATGTCTCTCCAACAGCAGAGCCAGGCCCTGATCTAACAAAGACTACTTTACTCCAGGGTAACACACAGATGGATACACACCCCCATGAGGCCGTGAACAGGGAAACGCCTGAGGACAAGAGTGAACCAAAAAAAACTGAGAGTCTGTCCGGTGCTGCCGTTGAGCAAAATACAGAGGAGCCATGTTCACGTAAGTCCAGGAGGATTAGTTTAGCTAATCTTCAATCCAAAGCAAGGCGTCTGAGTCAAATGATAAATGCAGCTCCAGAAGCCTTCGCCCTGGAGGGCGCCACAGCAACGTTACCGCAGACGGACCAAGACTCTGACCTGAAAACCTTGAAGGACAAAACTCTGCCCTTGCCTTCTGCGGCACCTGGACCTGTTAGAGACGTCACCTGGTCCAAACCTCAGGATTCCTCAAAGGATGAGTGTCCCACCCCAGAGGAGGTGTTTCCCACGACTCCTCACCACCTGAAGACCAAACTCATGTCCAGACTCTCGGTGGGAGCCTTCAAGCCAAAACTCCCCCAGAGAAACACCTCCAGTGATACGAAGAAGAAGAACTCAGACGACGACGTTACCAAAGCCATGACTGTGAACCTCACGGCCCATTTGGGCGACGGCGACAACGATGTGAGCGACATTTACGAGGAAGAACTCGGGAGTTATGAGGATGTTTCAGAAACGCTGGACAACAGCAGCCCACCGAAGCTGGACTCAAAAGAGCCGGAAGAGGACGACGTACCAGAGGAGGAAGCTGTTGCCGGTAAAAAGAGACCTCTGCCAAAAGACGAGAACAGAGGGGATGAGAACATGAAGAGGAGGAGATCATCCACTGAGAGCAGCGCTGATGTCGTAGGAATGGTAAATCAACACGTCAGTCATGTCGATTCTTAAAGAAGGAGCAGAAACGTCCTGTTGCTTCTGTTGAACCAAATCAGTGGAAATTCAAGTGCATTTAATGGATTTGTTTTGTTTCTTCTTCTCAAGTCTTTGTTTTATTTAATGGATTTGTTTTGTTTCTTCTTTTTTTTCCCTCCCCAGCACCACCAAAGTCTGCAGGAGTTTGACAGTAACTCAGCCCCGAACACCACCACACACACCACCGACTACTCCAGCAGCAGTCACGCGTCCAGCATGAGGTGTGAGGGCACATTCGAGTCAAGTGAGTTTTTAGCTTTCATCTTCACACACAGATGAAAAAGAAGGGTTTTTTATATATATTTTATTTTTTTCAGCTTTCAAGCAAAGTATGTTTGAGTCGCAGCTGGAAGACTACACCAGTGAAACCCAGAGGGTAAATATCTGCTACAGCATCATGCAAATGTGAAACCAGTCAAACCTCCATCTGTCAGTTGTTCAACGGTTTTAAAAATCTCTGCAGAAACTGGACGACGGCTCCATGACGGTGTTAGAGTTCCTCAAGCTCTTCAACATTGACTTTGTTATCCACAATCCTCGGCAGAGCGTGCTTCCTGGGAAAGTAGGTCTATTCTGGAGTCTCTGATCGTTTTTCACAGCAGATGATCTCAGTGTGACATTTGAAATTTGTATTTTACGTAGATTCCATCAGAGACGCAGCGAACACAGATGGACGTGCTGAAGGACAGACACATCAGTCTTCCACGGCAGCTGGTCTACGAGGAAGACGTTCAGGAGCTGAAAGAAAAGGTGGAGGGGTGAGTACGAGATGAAGACCTTTGGAAACATCCCCTCAAACGTGTCTGTGTTCGTTTCAAATAAATCCTCTCTTCATCCAAAGGTTGAAGATGAGAATGCAGGACCTCGACAAACCTCTAAGGATGGTCAACAAGGATTTGTGGGAGGAGTTGAGAGATTCCTCGGAGAAAGAGGTGAATTCAGTTATTTTATTTATCCTCATCCTGCTGGTTTTTTAATCGACAAAGATAGAAGTGAAAAGTTCACTTTTTTTTTGTTTGTTTGTTTTTTATCTAGGCTAAAATCATAGTGGTTATTTAAAACAATAACTCCCTGACTCTGGAAACACAATTAATGTATTAAACATAGTGATAATATTTTCTTTATCATTTTCTGTTTGACTCTACTTTAAATAAGTTTTTTTTTTAAATGCAAAAAAAACCCCTCCTCATCAATGAAGTATATCACTAGAACAAAATACACAAAAAATACATCTATAGATCTTTTCTTTTGAGTCACATAATAAAAACTCTATCCAGTAAAATCGAATGATGTTCTAGTTTTGATTTACTCACAGTTTACTGTGAAGTAAATAAATAATAGTAGAGAAAGAGGTGAATTCAGTTAATTTATTTATCCTCATCCTGCTGTTTTTTTAAAAAAAGATAGAAGATAGAAGTGAAACGTTCACATCTGTGGCAATTGTGGCTCTTTAATGTTTTTTTAGTTTTTTTTTAATCTAAGCTAAAATGTAATGGTTAATTAAAACAATAACTCCCTGACCCTGGAAACACTATGAATGTATTAAACATGGTGATAATATTTTTCTCTATCATTTTCTGTTGAATTCTCCCTTTAAATAACAAAGTATTTTCTTTAAAAAATGTAAAATAAAATCTCATCAATGAGGTATATCACGAGAACAAAATACACAAAAAAAATGTCTTTTGAGTCACATAATAAAAAGTCTATCCAGTAAAATCGAATGATGTTCTAGTTTTGATTTACTCACAGTTTACTGTGAAGTAAATAAATAATAGTTTTCAGTCCATGTTAGTGAAACTGGATCATTTATGGTACACCAGTGGGCTGTAGTCTACTGTACATTTATCATTTAAAAAAAGTTCCTAATGGTGATGTTCAAAATCCGCAGCTCAAATCCTTTGGTTCGAGTCTGAAAGAGAGAAATAACTTCTACAAAAAGATGGGAAAAGCCCGGTCACATGAGATGAAGGAGGTCCTCTACAGGAACCTCGTGCAGACGAATCAGGTAAGAATCCCACGCAGCGGCAACAGAAAACTGCGAGTACAACTGAATACTGTGTCGTAAATACTGAATGTTTGTCGTCCTCCAGGAGGAGCAGCAGAAACTGAGAGGAACCATTGACAGAGCAGATGAGATGATCAGGAGTCTGGACGAGTGCATCAGTCAGCTGGAGTCAGGTTTGTGGACCAGGGTTCAGTTCAGAACTTCAGCTGAAACTCCTCTCACGTCTCACTGCGTCTCTTCTGTCCTTCAACAGAACTGGCTGAGATTGAAGAAAAGGGTTCTGAGGAAAAACCCAGTCTGAAAACCCTACAACAAGGTGACATTTATTTTTATTTTTTTAATCATTACTTTAGTGATTTGTTTTTCTTAATTCCCTTCCATTTTGACCACTTTTTATTTGTTTGTTTTATGTTCAAAAAGAATTGGAGACGGTCACTAAAGCTGTGGCTGAAAATGAAAGGTGAGTTTAATAAAATGAAGAGTTATTTTGGTTTCTTTATTCTTTTCCTCGTCCTCATGCTCGTGTATCTGTTCATGTTCTAGACAACAGTCTGAGTTGGAGCTGCAGAATAAGCAGAACTCAAGTAAAACAGAGAGGCTGAAGGTGGAGACGAAGAACCTGAGGAAGCACGTGGACACGCTGCATCGGTAATGTGTTGTTAACTCTTCGTTCTTTTCGTTGGGTTTTGTTCAGTTTTTGTGTCGGTTCTTTTAACGCCGTCATTCACTGCAGCTTCGTTGGGTCCTGTTCAGTTTCAGTGTCAGTTCTTTTAACGCCGTCATTCACTGCAGGATCACTGAATGGACGTTTGGAGACAGGACGGACGACAGCACCGTCTACTCCTTTCTCTACGACTCTGTGCATCTCCAGGTGGATTATGGGAAGTCACAGGGTAGGTGTGGTTGGTCAGTGACGTTCTGGGCAGAGAATAAGTAAATACTTGACCTTTTCTTTCACTTGTCTTCCATTTTCCAGAAACAGCTGATGGTCATTCTGAGAGGGAAATAAAAGACATCGCCTTCAAACTTCGACTGAACGGTCAGGAGGAGGAAACATCCTGCTTTCTTCTTTTTTTTTCAATTAGTTTTGTCTAACATATGGAAAGATGAGTTATAGATTACTGTTAACAGTTACTGTTTGTCCCATAATCCTTTGCTCCCTATGTCTTATTTCCCCCTATATAGGGCCGACGTCCGAGTGTCACGCTCGTCTCGTTCATAAACTGGTCTCTCAGTTCGTCAGGGGTCAGAGGTCCTTGGTGGAGAAGTACCCGACAAGTGGACATGTTCCCAAGGTTAGTACAACGATACGGAGACACGGGCCGGATCTTCACCTCCGTGTGAGATTTATTTATTTTCCAACGATGTCAGGCCACAACAAAAATAAAGAATCCTCTCAGGCCAGAGAGAAGAACGATGCGGTGACCAAGATCTGGCCTTCTGCTGGATTTAAAAAATATATTTTATTTTTTTTACTACATTTTATTTGAATGTCCGACAGATTCTTGCCCTCTGACGACTATAGCTGGTGTCCCCTGGTATAAACTGATATTTCTGCAGTTGCTTCACGACGTCTCCCTGGTGGTGAGTCGCTGCCGACTGCTGGGAGAAGAACTTCGTCTGCTGAAGATGTGGGGGGCCACGAAGCTCGATATTTTGGACCTGACCTGTTTGGATACTCAGTAATACTTTTTATTTAAAAAGAAAAAAATTAACCTGCATCTTTTTGGCTGCTTTTTGGGTCAAATATTGTCACTGATCCTTAAAAAAAAAATGAACCTGTGTCTTTTAGGCTACTTTTTGGGTCAAATATTGTCACTGATCTCTGGGCTCCTCCTTCAGAGTGCACGTGGTCTTCAGCAGCCTCAAGAAATTGTCAAAGTTCCAGGTGGTCTTCTCCATCACTTTAAAGCAGCGCCTCTGTGTGGTCAAGCTGGAGCGCTGCAGTAACATTTACGGACAGGCAGAGTAAGTATGAACCTTCACCTAAGTCTGACATGAATGTGAATAAATAATGACCTGAACTGAACATGGGACTGCTGACATTTCATCGATGGTTGATTTCCAGGATTCAGAAGATCGACGACATCGTGGCGTCGTTCACTCCGGGCAGAAACGTCTTCACGAAGATTATAAAGAGGATTCACGCTGATCTTCTCAGATAAGAACATTACATGATATGGTTCATATCTGTTTTAACATCATTACTTCATGTCGTCTTTGTTTCATATTATTGTATAGATTTTTATGTTATGTGTGTACTGTACATAAAGTAGCTCCTGTGGTGTGTTTTTTAGCTAATAAAGTTAGATTATAGTACTTATAATTGCCACGCCTCGGAGAAGAATGTGATTAAATATAATAACTTCAGAATAATTCAGGTTTAACAAACTAGTTCTGTCCTGAAGTTATTTTTTTATCACTACAATTCACTTCATTTACTTTGTTTACGTGCAGTTTTCACAGTGGCCACTAGATGGTACTCATGTCTGTCTTTTCTGTGCTGTACTTTCTTTCCTTGTAAAAACGAATGTCAGTGTAAATATCAAATACAATCTGCAGGTTTTCTATCTTCTATCTGTACGTGTACTTTTTCGTTTTTTAAAATTAAATTTAAATATTTATGCTTCGTTTTTAGGTTTTCCACCAATGATGGTGGGATTAATTATAACCTTTTAATTTAAATTTGATCAGAGTTAACCCTGTATTTAATCCTATCCCTTTCTTTATCTTCGTTATTTTCCTTCCATTAATTTTCGTATTGAAAGTGCAACGCACATACCCTCTCTTGCTGTACTGTTTCTGGCCACAGAGTGGCGCAGCAGGCTTGCAAAAAATTAATTTTATCCAGACTCCAGACCTGTACCTTGTCTTAAAGAAAGGACTGTTAATCAAAAGTAGATTTGAGGAAACCCGAGGTCTGTTAGTAGATTGTCTTCTTGACAACATGAGACGTTAAACCTTCAGTCACAGTTTATTTTTAAATGTAATTTTCTCTGTTTTACTTTTTATTAGATTATTTTACAGTAAATACATTTTTTACTTTTTTTATTAGATTATTTTACAGTAAATATTCGCTCTTTTCACGGCAGGACGGCAGACCTTTAGGTGGGAATTGTCAAATTCCCTGAATCCATGTAGGACAACAGTCGCTACAACCGACAACACATTCAACCCACAACCTTTCTGTACATTTTTTACGGTGATTCATACACATCTAAGACATGTGCAGATCAAACCGCTGACAGATCTGTAATCAGTCAATCCGTGTTCAAGTACAAGCACGACTTTTCGTTTTTGTTTTTTTTTTTCTTGGCAAAATCATGACGGAGCCGCAGAGAAGAATCGCAACCGTCAACCCGTCTCTGCTGCTTTTACTGAGACAGAGCAGGCAGCAAATGAAAACTATTATTTATGAAGTCAAAAAGAAGAAGAAGAACTTTGATCACTTTCCTTATTTGATGTGGATTTTTGAAATAAATCCCATCAATAGTAAAAAAGAGATGAAGGTTTTCATTTCAACAATTTCCTTCTGTTTGATACAATTCGGTTTTATTTTTATCTATGGAGGCATAAAAATGTAGGGGTTAGTCGATTTTTGAAATAAATCCCATCAATAGTAAAAAAGAGATGAAGGTTTTCATTTCAACAATTTCCTTCTGTTTGATACAATTCGGTTTTATTTTTATCTATGGAGGCATAAAAATGTATAATACAATCTGACATCACAGGTCAGAGTGGTCTTTCCAAACCGTCACCCCAGAGTGGGAGATGGGGGAGACGAGTTCGCCCCCTCCCCCGCCCCATCCTGCCCTCACCCAGGAACAACAGCTACTGTCAAAGCAGACAGAAGACTCACGGGGAGTCAGAGCAGGGTTTAGGTTTGACTGGAGTCACATCTGTGGGGAGGGGGGAGTGTTGACCCCACACCCGGGGTCAGGATATTTTGTTTCAATTGATTTTAGATCGAGGGGCTTTTTTTTAATACAATCTTTGAAACTGATACTTCCATCTTCTTATGAAAAACAAACATATTCTGACTTTTCCCAGTTTATTTAGTGTAAACTCAGGCGGTGATGAAAGTGACTGATTTTCTGCCACATAATCACACTGGTATGTGTCCAAGTCATCACCTGCCTCTGCTGCTTGTTGTTTTTTCTTAAATCTCAAATCTTAGGTGATGACTTAATTGCCAGTGATATTTCATGTTACTTTTAAAAGTTCTTTGAATTTGTCTTTCAGTTTCTCCCTACAGTATTATTTTTATCATTTTTTCGCGGCCTTGTTGAGTAAAAATGGAAAGCACCGTCAAAAATCATGACAAGACAGGCTCACAAATTATCTGTAATGATGTTTATGTACCTGTGTTTATCTGCAGTCGTAAAAAACTTGGGGAAATTTCTGTTTTAAAAAGGAAAAAATCCTGAGGCCAGACTTTGTACAAACGAGTTTCACATGAACAATAACAATTTCATGATCGCAACTGAGAGAAATGCATTCTGGGAAACAGAACAGATGAAATTAAAACCGAAAACAACAATCAAATTAATTTGTGAAATCTGAAATTAGCCGAGGGCCACGTCGTTGATCATTATGTCGTCACTTATTAGTTTTGTAAGTTATTGCTATTGTTATTATAAGAAATAACCTTAAACAACCAGTGGGTTAGAAGTATTTTAAATATGATTTTAGGTTAAAAACATACTTGGATAAAATGACCAAAATTTTAACTATGCTTCTTTATATATATATATACACATACATATGATATAAACTGTATATATAAAAAAACCCGTAAAATTTAAATTCCAAGAAATAGAGAGAGAATCAGCGTCAAACATATTGGACTAAATTTGAAACTTCCCTTTTTCCGTACATCGTCCCGTGGAAACCACAACGATGAGCCAGCGTCCGCCTCTTCTCTGAGTGACAAATGGAATTGTTAATGGAGATTTAGATGAAATTAGGCGGCAACACATTGTCACCACAACAAACGTTCTAATTCAGTAAAGTGGGACATTTGGCCTCGGGCGACTCTGCTCTAATCTGTTTACCCTCAGGCCCCCGGGGGCAGTATTTCACCACGGTAACCTCATCACTGTTGTTCACTGACATCAGCCTGGACATTTAGTTTTCCAAGGTGGATGGGTGTCCATGAACCTGCCAAACACTGACTCAGGGCTGAGGATCAGACAGGAAGAGGGTTTAAAAAAAAAAAAAAAAAAGAAAGTGAAATATTCAGTATTCAATCAAATGTTTTAGATATGAGGGCAGTAAATACACAAATACAAAGAAAATCAAA